GAAACTTTAAGGGGCTCCATGTGGTGCTGAGATGTCCTTTGGGGAGGTGCTACAGGGGCAGGACATTCCCAGTCCTTCTCTCCTGGTGGCTTGAGGCCGGGAGGTGGAACAGAGGAGAATCCACGGCTGGCACTTGACAGGTCGCAGCTGGGCAGCTGTTCCAGGCCATGAGCCATCTTTCCCCTGTGAGTCCGAGGGGTTAGGGGCCTTCAATTCAGAAGCTGGCCACTTGCACACTCCCCACCTGTCAGGCCTGTCTTTTAAAAGTCTGCGATTTGTCCATCATGAGCAGGTTAACAGGATAAATGACACCCAGCTAATGGATCTAACAAATATACGGAGGATGTGTCTGAGCTAATTCTGCAGCAGAGAGCAATTACCAAATTTATGAATCACCCATCTGTGTAGACACCAGTTCCCAAGACTAGATAGAGCTTGCTAGCGGGAGACGTGGTTAATCGGATTTGACCAGCTCTGACCAACTCTGGGGCCGTGAATGAAAGGAGCAGAGCCCGCTCCGGCTTTTGACAAGCTTCTCATGGGACAGGGCTTAGGAATTGTGACCTAACAAATAGGAGAGAAGGCAGACTCCAGACCTGCTCAGTATTAAAGACAAAGAAAGTGCTGAGAAGGGTGGGATCCAGCTGAGCAGTAGGGTGGGGAGGTGGCTTTAACTGGAGCTCCAAGGAAGGGCGCTGGTGTCATAGCCCGGGTTGGGGTGATAAAAGCGCTCACATCCTGGAGCTCTTCTGAAAATTAACAGAGCGTGTGAGGTGTCTGGAGGACAATGAGAGGAGACTTTGAATGGCAGTCATACTAAGTGCGCAGAAGAGTAGCTGGCCTAGAAAAGGAACATACTGTGAATCAGTGCATACACACATGCACACACACAACTAGATACTACTTTAGATGTTATATATTATTATTTAGCAGTGAACAACAGTGCCGTGTTATGATATATTACATACGTGTAACATCAATGTATTATATGTAATTATAATATTATGACACATAGGAGATGTATTCATATACTGTCAAATAATTTCTTTCTTATTAATACATACTAAAGCTTATCAAAGTTTATGTACTAAGTTAGCATATATTAGCAGAGCACATTTGTTTATTATGATATTAATATATGTAATTATAATTGTGCCATACTATGAACCAAGCGAGGAGGGGCTGGGGCTTCTGCCAGGGAGGGGTCTCGTAGGAGCCCCCCAAGGAAGCTGCAGCTCCCAGGATGAGGAGGAGGAGGGAGGAAGGGTCCCAGGGTGGCGGTCGGTGCATGACAGACAGAGGGTTCGGATCCAAAGGCAGCCTGCTGGTGGCCAGGGCAGGGGGCCCACTGTGGGACCAGAAGAGCCAGCTGGCTGGGGGCCTGGGAGGAGCAGGGGCCGATGGGTGAGGCTGGGTGCAGCCATGCGAGGAGCATGGCCAAGGGTCCCAGGACCCAGCTCCAGTGCACAGAGCGGGACAGGATGTGTGGGAAGCGGGACCACCCCACGGCGCCGGGAGCTGGGGATGTCTGTCCTGGAGACTCCAGCCACGGCGTCCCAAGGGCCAGGCCAGGGGGAGTCGGGACACCTCTTTGGGCCAGGGGAGCCTGGAGCAGGGGGAGGAACATGTGATTGCGAAGGGGAGCAGGTGTCTGTCACGCCAGGGAGGCAAGAGAGCCAGGCGTTGCTGACATAGGTTCTGGCCTAGGGGCGGGAAAAAGTGTCATTCTGCGGAGAGGGCATAAGTCCTGGGGAAAGGCTGGCTTCTACTTTAAGATTTCTGGCGTTAGCACTGGAAATCAGCTAAGTTTGTTTCCCTGGTGTGATTCAGGATTTATAAACTCAATTAGACTTACGAAAACAGGCTGAGAATTTGTCATCGATGCTCTATAACTTGATGAATGATTGATTGGCTCGATGCTCGCTGATCGTCGGTAACCACACCAGGCACCTAATGTGTGAGTTCGGCTCTCCTCCACTCACGCGCACACACAGGCACTGTGCACGCACACAGAGGTGCTGCACCGCTGTAATAGTCAGTGACCCTCTTCTGAGGATCCTCGGAAATGACTGGGGTGATGGCTAGGAGGGTGTTCAGACAGTCACAGGTCCCAAACGGAAGGGCTGACGGTGGAGAAGCACTCTCTCCCTTGGAGCTGCCAGGGGCCTGGCAGGACAGGGATTCCTTCTGGCCATGCAGGATCGGGCAGTTGGTGGCTTGGGGCCTCTCAGCTCTGACAGGCACAGCCTTGTGATTTCAGTCTTAAAGTAGGTACCTGGGACATCTCTTCTTTTTCATCTCTAATTTTTACTTTCGGCCTAAGGTCTCATGAAAACAGCCCGTCCACTTTCTCCCTTAGCGAGCCCTGGGGCTCTCCTTCCTGCTGTAGCAGTTTGCTTGGGGGGCCCAAATGGACCTTGCTTTCTCCCCAGTTTGGGGGGCAGCATTGTCTGGAAGCCCTAACTTGGTGCTGATTAAGCTGGTCATTGCTACAGCTTCACAGCACACCGCAGACCTGGCCAGAAAAGACCCCCACCTCACCCGAGCCCATCCTCCCGCCCGCTGCTCATCATCTCCCTCCACTCTGCCACCCCCACCCCATCTTTCATTGCTGCCCTGGGCAACAGAGTAGCAGGCGCTCAGCAGGTGCTGCCATTCCACAGAGACTTCCAGAAATGCGAACCAGAGCGTCTCACCTTGCTTCTGTGGCCCTAGGAAATGTCCCCAGGTGAGGCCCTTTTTCTGTGTCCTCTGCCACTGAGCTGTAACGGAGAGGCACTAGGACAGCCTCACCCCTGCTGTCCCAGGGAACTGTCCAGCGGGGAAACGGCCCCGGTTTATCCTGTGCCTCCTCTGCCCTTCCCCAGAGAGCCTGGCTGTGGTGCCATCCTCCCTCCCTGCTGCATGGAAAAGGCTCTCAGTTTTGAACAAGCTCCCGGGTGCCAATGTAACACTGGACGTTCGGACGGCTGCACACCAACAGGTGGCACTGTAACCCCTGAGGGGAGCCCTGGATCCCAGCCCGCCCAGCCGACTCCAGTGGGGCCAAAGCCCACCTCCAGCATCCATCTGCCTCCTCCTTGGAGAGAGGAAGTTGAAGGCACAGATCTCTGCGACCCGGTGTGTTGGCCAACTTTCTGCTGCTGTAATAAAGACAGCGCTGAGATAATCCGCTTAGAAGGACGAGAGGCTTATTGTGGTTCTCAGGTTTGGAGATTTCAATTCAGGATCAGTTAGCTCCGTTCCTTTGAGCCTTTGTTGAGGCAGCACATGGCGGTGGGACTGCCAGGGAGCAAATCGGCCTAGCTCACGGCTGGGAGGTGAAGGCAGGAGCAAGTGGGGGAGCCTGGGTCACACTTCAGGGACACATCCCATTGGCCTCACCTCCTGGAGTGCTGCCACCTCCCAGCTGGGGCACCCCGCCTCTGCCACAGGGGTCCCCGGGAACAGTGCGGTCCCTTGTCACACAGGAAAGAATCTAAAGGCGTACTTTTTCTAATCCCCCATTCTTTAGTCAGGTTGCAGAATTAAGTAATCAGTTCTGGGTGGCGGCTATTTTGGTGCTCTTATTGGCTCTAGAGCTGGCTTTTTAGTGATTTCTTCTTGATGCAAGGGACCATGCCACCCTGTGTCCCTTTGCTCAGGGGCCTGCAGGCCCCCAAGTCCCTCTCCGGGACTCCCAGTGTGACAGGGCCCAGGGGGACCCAAGTGGCATTTGGAGAAGCAGCAGTGGAAACGGACTGAGCTGGAGCTAGAGCCCACTGGGTCCTCTTTCTGGGCCAAGATGGGCTCCCACGGATGAGTCGGCAGAGGGTGGTAAACACGGCTGGCGGGCCGAATCCAAGACTGAGAGGAATATTGATTGCACGGGGCTGCAGGGAGGACTGGACCAGGGAGAGGCACACACACCAGATGGATTCAGGGACAGAGGCGAGAGGCTTTTGGCTCTGACGGCCGTATGCTGTTCTTTCTTTAACAAAGCCTGAGTCACTGCTGCTCCCTTCCAAATAGGCCGGAGGTCAGCCGGCACGGGAGGGCCAGGGAGGCCAGGGAGGAGTCAAGTGATGGTGGGCTGTGGGCGTCCCTGTGGGCTCTCAGCAGCGGTATTTGCTTATTTCTGAGCAGGCCCGTGTTCATCAGCCACCACAACGACCCCTGCAGGGAAGGGGCTGAGCCCAGGGAGCGACAGGTAACATCCATGGCTGCTCACTAGCGGGTCCCCTTGTGCAAGGGTGAAATTCCTTTATTGCCACCAAGAATGAGACTTTGCAGGGGAAGCACTAAACACCTTCCAGGCAGAAGGAAAGGATTCACATTGCTCTTCGGTGCAGGGTCAGCTCATCTGAGGACGACTCTGCCCTCTCCCGCTTGGCTTCGTCTGGAATTAACCTTCCAGAGTAAGATGGTGGGTGTGAAAGAGAAGCGAAAATGCAGTCCGTGAATACTGAGCACCAGGTGCAGGGTCCTGGGCCACAGGCATGGCCGTCTCTGTACTGTTCTTAGTCTCCATTCTCTGGTACAGGCTGCACACTTAGCAGCCCAATAATCCAATTTAGCGAACATTTAGGAAGCAGCAACTCCACACCGGGCCTGCTGCCAGCTGCTGGAGCTTCCAATATGACCAGCTCTGAGGCATTATATACATATATATATATTTTCCTCTCCTTCAACTTTCCGATGACTTTGATGGTTGTCAGGAGGAAATCTGTATTACAACTGCTTAGTTGAACAAGCTTGTGAGTAGTTGGTAAAAATAAAAATCCTTACATTTCAATTTTGTCTGTTTTATGAAAGAGCAAAAATAAATTGAAGCTGTGAAACATTAAAGAAATATTTCTTTGCCACAAAGGAAATTATTTGTTGAGGATAAGAAAAGAGATTACAGCCAACATTAACAGATTGGAATTTTTATACATGTATGAACACAAATACACATCTGCTATATTCTCAATTTCAGAGTTTCACCTGTCTCCTTCCAAAGTAAGACCAGGGTACTGGCATTCTTATACTGTCTCCATCTCTCTTTCTCTTCCTCTCCAATTCTTGTAAGTCCTTATTGTGGGTTGAACTGAGTCCCCTGAAAAGTCATGTTCAAGTTCCGATCTCTGGATGCCTGTGAATGTGACCTTATTTGGAAAAAGCATCTTTGCAGAAGTAATCAAGTTCTGAAAGGATGGACCCTAAACTAGTGACTGTTGTTCTCATAAAAAGCAGGAGATTTGGACGCAGACACTGAGAGGAAAGAAAATCACAAGAAGACAGAAGCAGAGGTCGAAGTGCAGCACCTACAAGCCAAGGAGAGCTAAGCATGGCCGGCAGCTGCCACGGTCTGGGAGGCAGAGTAGAGCTCTCCTTCCAGTCTTCAGGGGGACCCAGCCCTGTCAGCTCCTTGATCTCAGTCTTCCTGCCTCCAGAACCACAAAGGAGATAATTCCAGTTGTTCAAAGCCACCCAGTTTGTGGTACTGTGTTTAGTCAGTCTTATGAAAAAAAAATAATGTTCGCATTGTTCAGGTTTGCACTACTCAGCCTGTTGGACTATCGTAATTCTTACGGGTGCACTACACGTGTTGCGCATGTCAATAGATTCATTATACATCGCCTGCTTCTCTGGTCTCTGGGGAATCTCTGCCTTCCTCCCTCCTCTTCTTGCCTTTCTTTGTGCTGTGTTTTGCACAGCTGCTCAGCTCTTCTTTTCATCTCACGCCTGCTTGAGGAGCTCTCTCCAGACATTCTGCTTGCTCTCGCTCAACCGGAGGGGAGCATGTCACCCCCTTCCTCTGCTGACACCACGTTGTCTTCCTCCGTAAGCCTGTTTCCCAACTGCACAGACAGAGGAAGGGATTTAGCCCATGTGACCTGGTGTATTGGCCGGGCCTTCTGGACTCCCTTTCACAAAAGCCGCTTTTATTAGATATCCACTACCAGGACCCCCTTGTCCTAGCTGAAGGGGACGCCCTACCTCAGGGGGATGCATGCGATGGCTCCCCTTAGGCCCTGTCAGCCCTGGGGACCTCTCTCCATGCACCCTCCTGCCTCATCATTTTCCTGTCACCGCCCCTTGGGTCAGAAGAGGAGGACAGCAGGCTCCTCTTATACCCATCGGTGTGGCTGCTGGGGACCCCAGGGGTTGGCTAAAGACCCAGGTGTGCCTCATTCCAGAATCCCAGCATTTTTATTTCTTAGATTCTGGCTTGAAATGGTCTTTTTGTGGACGTTGTATTCTTTCTTCCCTGATTACAGTTGGGAGTTTTTTCTTCCGTTTTTTTCTTGCCTGTTTAAATAGGTTTTTTCCTTATTTTTATTGAAAATTGGTTTAAAAATTCTGTAAATCTTAACTCAGAAGTTCACTACTAAAAATAGTGAGTATACATGAAATTTATTTTGAATGTAATAGACAATGAATGTCACCTGGACAGATGGATAAATGAATATGTTGTTACTCAGACTTTTAATTCCATCATCGCTGTCATAGAAAGGAAGGAGGAAAGGACCACTGGGGGTGACTTTTTTGCCAAGAGGTAGCGTACTCTGATTCTCTAGGGAGGCAGAGCTAGTAGGATACACACAGATCTGCGGAGAGACTCATTACGAGGCACTGGCTCATGCAATCTTGGAGGCTGAGGAGTTGCTCACAATCTGTTCGTTTTAAGGTTGAGACCCAGGATAGTCAGTGGGATCCCACTTAGCCTGAGTCTGGCTATGGCGGGTGATGGTACACGTTCTACTCCAAGTCCCAGGGATTTAGCTCAGCGGTTCCGCCGCCTGCCTCACAAGCGCAAGGACCTGAGTTCGATCCCCAGTACCGAAAAAAAAAAAAAAGGCTCATGAGCTCAAGGTGACTGATCATGGAGCACTGGCCTCATCTTGGACTGATCCATGCTGAGTTACAGGCGAATGTAATATGAGGGGTTGGAGGGAGTAGCTCACTGGGGTGGGCTTTGAAGGGTATATCTTGTCCCCAGCCCTGTCTCTATTTAGGGATCATCAGCTGTACCCTGCTTCTGGGCCCCCATTACATGAGCAGCTTAATCCCACACCCTTGCACCAGGGTATTTCTTTCTTCCTTAAAGCTGGGCAACCTTGGACTGAAACCTCTGAAACCATGAGCCAAAATAAACCTCTCTTACTTTAAGTTGTGTATGTCAGGTATTTTGTTCCATCAATGGAAAGCTGATGGATTCAATTATTATGTAGCACTGTGTCTCTACATAGTTGTGTGCTATATTTTTATACGACTGGTAGTGCGGTAGGTCTGTTTACACCAGCGTCACCGCAAACACGTGAACAATGCACTGCACTGTGACATCACAAGGGCTACAGTGTCGCTAGGCAATGGGAAATTTTTAGGTCCATTGTAATCTTATGGGACCACCATCATGTAGGTTGTCCATTGTTGGCCAAATTGCCCTTATGTGGTACATGGCCGATGAAATGGAACCTGGGAAATCTCAGCCTACCTCAAAGGAGAGGGTAGGTTTATGAACTTTGTGAATGGTGGCCAGGGTTGAAATATAGAATATAAAGTAAGAGTATAGATCAGACTATGCCTTGCCTTGGACTTGACTGAGCCAGGCAAGTACACTAGAGCTCAGCCAGTGAATGTAGTGGCTGGGGCTCGTTGGTGACTCCCTGAGCAGTGTCTGGCACGGGATCTGAGACCAGCTAGGGTCTCAACCTTTACCCCAAGTTGTTCCATTTAGGTGAACTGTTGTATTTATCCCAAAGGGGCAGTCTTCATATCCCCCATTTATCCATTAGCTTTGTCCTCTCATCCTACCAAATGTGCCTTTTCGGGGGAAAATTTTAAAAATCCAGTTAGGTCAGTGCAGTGGGAGTCCTGCCACCATCAATGCTCACCGTGACGTATTCGTTGCCAGCAAAGTTCTGAGCCCAGCTCTCTGCCAGCTATGCCTACACTATCCTTGCACAACGAGATGATGCAGTAGAATGGTGTTCTGGCTCCCCTTTGAGTCTGTCTGGGCAAAACAGAGACACAAAAGTGGCTCATTGCTTTCCAAGAGTCATGGACAGCTGAACAAACCAACAACTTAGCCTGGGCAGGCATCACCTTGGGATACCGAGAGTCCTGAGCCTGGCATCTTCTACTGCAGACCACATGGGCTTTTGGGAAGGCACGTCACAGCTCCAAGTCAGGAGCAGGACTTGTCAGGCTGAGAATGGACGACTCAGCATTGCTTGGGTGGCTGCGGACTGGACATGTGATTGGTGGCCAGGATGGCAGTTGCTATGGAATATATAGTTTCCAAGGAAATAGCTTTGACTTAACACTCATGTCCTCTTCCTAGGTCATACCTTCCCCTTGTCACTGGAGGCATTGAGGGATGCAGAAGTTCCACTGTGCATGCTAAATCGTGAGGTCAGAAGAGCAGGCTCGGCTTGGTACTGTTCCCAGCTCCTGTTGCTGTATTTTGAACACACTAGGTGCTTAATATACATATTTGTTTAACCAGCGTGGATCAATTCATTCATATTCAAAGGATAATGGCTTGATAGCACTGAACATATTCCAAATATATTTCAAAGGCAATTCCAAAGGGAGATTATTTTAACCTGGGAAATTAAACAAATGGACAATGGCTGCTATTGTAAGGCTGAACGTAACAACAGTTTATCCTGTGGTTACATCATAGTCCAATGGGTTCCAGGATGACTCTTTTCCAACAGTGACTTAGGCCTGAGCTGCTGCTGTCACTGCACCAACCACAGCAGTCCCTGACGGAAGCTATCTTCCAAGTCAAATATAGGTGATCAAAGTTGTAACTTCATTTGAAACTACAGCAATTCCTCCCACCTCCCTTTTCTGAGATTTCACTTTCTGATGTTTTAGTTGCCTGCAGTCAAGCTTGGTCCTAAAACTTTAAATAAAAAATTCTAGAAACAAGCAATTCATAAATAAGTTTTAAATTGTGTACTATTCTGAGCATCAAGAAATCTTATGCCATCCTGGTCCAGCCTGCCTGGGGGGTTAATGATCCCTTTGTCCAGTGAGGCCACATCGTACACACTACTCACCTGTCAGTCACTTAGCAGTTGTTACGGTTTATATAAAAAATGTCCCTCAAAGCCTCATGTGTTTGAAGGGTGATTGGATCATGGTGGTGCTATACTCATCAACAGATGCCTTCACTGATGAAATCAAAGCTCACTGAGCTGTTAGGAGGTGAGAACTGGTTGGAGGGGATCAATGGGGAATCACCTGTAAAAGTGATCTTGTCCATTCTTATCCCTGGCTCCTCCTGTCTCTCTCTGCTTTCTGGATGCCTTGGGTCGAGTACTTCTTCCCTGCCATGTTCCTTTGCCATCCTGTTTTGGTCTTGGAGCCAGTCAGGTATGGGCTGAAACTGTGAGCCAAAATAAACTTCACCTCCTTTAAGTTGTGAGTGTCAGCTATTTTGTTCCAGTAGTGGAAACGGAAAGTGAACAATCATCTTGGTTATAGATCAGCTATCAAGGGGTAACCGGTTGTGTTAACTAAGCCTTATGCAGCAGCCTAATGTGACATCACAATGCTTACATGTTTACATCCTTCACCTCCTTCATCCCTTTATGCAGGTACTGTATCGTCTCCTATCACGGGTTCAGTACAAGGAGAGGGATTAGAAGGACTCTAGAGATGAACGATTTAAAGTATTTAAGAAGATGCGTGTAAGTTCTGTGCAAATACTATAGCATTTTATACAGGGACTTAAGCATTCTCAGAGTTTGGTATCCTTAGGGCTCTGGGCTTAATCTCCCTACAGAAGCTGGGGGATTATTACAGCTGGAATGTGTGGCTGGAGGGGGGGGGGCAGCTGGCAAGGAAGCTAGGAGCTGGTTGTCTTAGTTATTTTTCTTTCCTTGCTGAGACAAAATACCTGACACACAAAGTTAAAGGGAGAAAGGTTTATGTGGCTCACAGTTAGTAGAGGTTTCAGCTTGTAATCGGCTAGCTTCAAGGCAGAGTGGCAGAGGGGCAACAGTTCATGGTGGTGGAAGACAGTAGAAGCAACAAAGGAAGGAGAGGGACCCTCAACAGCATCTTGCTGCCCCCTTTATCTTATGCAGATCACTTAGGGCGGGCAGGACTCACTCCCTCCCTCCATCCTAGTGCCCTTGAGCCTAGCATCGCACCCAGGAATCTATTCCAGAAAAAGCCCAACCTACAACTGCATGAGGCTTTGGGGGAACAACAAGACACAGCCATAACAGTGCTCGATGCAGAAGGCCTCGTCTGCAGCGTGGTCAGCACTTGGGCCATCCCCCCGCTCGGAGGCCCTGCTCTTCAGCAGGGTAATGTTCTTGGTCTGGGCTCCCTCCAAGGTAGGGCCTGAGTGGCTTTGGAACTGGTCCCTGAAAGGATGGGTGGAGGGCAGGGAAACCAGCACAGGGAGCCAGGGGCATCACATGCAGGTAAACAAGATGCATGCAGAAGGTGCCCAGAACCGTGCAACTGAACAGGACCACCCGTACCCACGTCCGGCCTGGTGTGACCTCACTGGGGCCAAAGGCAAGAGGTGGCCATGTCCTCCTGAGCTGCAGTCACGCAGCTGAGGCCAGGGAAGGCGGGAGCCGTGACGTGTGCTGGAAAAACACACGAGGATCCTTCAAGTCCAGGGCTCTGAGCCGGAGACCAACTCCCCATCCCACTGTCCATACCATGGGCCCTGGGAAGCGAGCTTCAGCTGGGCTGCCTGTCACAGGAGGCCTTTGCTTGTTTATGCTGGCCCACCACCTCTGCCAGTGTCACTTGGTTCCAAACACTGCTGCCCTCCGTATCCCCATCACCACAGAGTTCGTCCTGCAGACCATCTGTCTCCATAAAGCTGGATGCACAGAGGCCAGAGCCAGCCATCGTTCCCAGGCTGTGCCGGGTACAACCCTGATGCAGTCTGAGTGAGTGGAGCCCCCTCGCATTGTGTAGAGAACAGCACAGGAACTAATGACACACAGCAGTGTGGACCCGGGACTTTCCCCATCATCTGCTTCTAAAAGTCCACTCGTTTTCAGATGCCCTGGGCCACTTGCTCTCTGATGAGGCCCCTTCCCTGAAGGTCACATGGGTTGCCTCCCCTGAGACTGTGAATCTCAGGTGCCCACTGGGTTCCCTTAGTTGTTGGTTCCCAGTTCCCTAAGGACGTAGACCCCTCGTGCACCTCCCACGGCCCGCTGAGCAAAGCTGGGCTTGCAGGAGCAGCTCTGCAGGGTGATGGCCCCTGGGAGGAAGCTCTGCATGGAACAACCCCCTTTGATGGGGGCCACGATGACCTCTAGGCCCCGTGGGTTAGTGGCAGCTGGGCAGGTGCCTCTCATTACGAGCAGGACCCTCTGCCCTTCGTCCACTACCTGCACCAGCAGTTGGCTGCCTTGTCACCAAGTGGAGAGAGGAGCAAGGGGACTGGCGGACAGACCACGTCCCCCAGTGGCTGCTCCTGCCTGTCGCCCAGGTCTGCGACCAGGGACCCTCAGCGACGTGATCATCATGGGCCAGGATCCAGCCAGGGCTTTGCAGGAACCTGCAGGCTGTGCTGAGAATGTCAGCACTTTGGCTTTAACACTTCCCAGGAGATCACCCGGAAGCGGAAATGTAAGGCTCATGCTGAAAACACCGGTGTGCTTTTCTCTTTCTTCCTGAAAAATCTGAGTCCAGCCATCCATGTGACCTCCGAGGTGGGAATAAATGGCTTCTGATGAAAACCTGGACATCACAGACCCAACCCTGCGATCTGCAGCCTTCTTCCCCAACACCACCACCTTGCAGCCGATCTGGGCCTTTCAAAACCACGCAGACAACCTGCAGGATCCATTCTCACCTACACTGTTCTTCCTTCACTCACCCCGCAAAGGCTGGGCGCTGTCCTGCTCCGAAGGTGAAGAGACAGCCCGACCTGGGAGCTCACCCCTGGGGGGCAGGAACAGCACAGTGCAAGGATAAGCGCTGGAAGAGAGGGGGTTGTGTTTCACGTGCGAGAGGAGCACAGAGGAGCTGCACTACTGGGTGAGTCAGGAAAAGAACGAAGCATAAAGGGTCTTAAAGGGTAAGCGTTTTCCAGGGGGATGAGGAGGAAGTGGGCATTCCTGGCAGGGTAGGAAGTAGAAGGTAAAGGTTAGAAGTGTAAAGCATCACGCTTACGCATATGTCTGTGCCTGGAAGATGGGGTAAAAGAGACAGGGAGGAGGCATCAGAGGGAGCTGCCCAGCCTGAGGCTGGGGCTTGGTTAGAACCCGCTGCAGTGGTGGCCTCAGGACACTGCCTCCAGGCTCCGGCTGGCTGAGTCCAGCCATCGTACAGCCTCGGCCTCCTGAACAATAAAAGAAAGTAGCACCTCTCCTCTGATGAGATTTGAGAAGCAAAGGATTCTGCTCACAGTGCCTTCTCTACCAACTAGACACAAGGCAGGAACTCTCACCATCTGGGTGCCTTTCCGTGGGACCACCAAGGCCTTTGGATCTTCAGCAGCCCTACTAAATGCAGACACCCAGGAAGAGAGAGCACCCCGGTCTCTTGGCTTTCTGTGATTTCCTGACCTCTAGGGAGTAGAGTGGCTCTCCATGCCCACCTGGCCATTCATCTTTCCTCTCCTGGGGATTTTTCTACCGAGTTCTTTCATATCAATCTGCAGTGATGCTTTCTGCCCTTTGGTTGCTAATCCCTTCTCAGATATATGCTTGGCAAGTATCTTCCCCCATCTGACTTGTCTCTTATGAACACCAGAGAGATTTCATGGAGTATCTCTTTGCTAACACCTTGCCTGAGATAATGACCCATTTTTGTGTCTGACTGATGGCCAAGAGGTAGGTTAGAACCCAATGGGGTCCCTAGCCTTGTGCAACTTGATTACCTGTGCCTCAGTTTCCCTTCCGTGTCATAGGGGTATGTGTGACACTCCTAGGCACTTCAAAGGTAAGGTACTGGGCACAGGTGTGGTGTGGCCCAGCCTCCACCTGTTACTATCTATCCTGTGTGACCAGAAGGACCCCTGCAGCTTGCTGTGGGGACATACGTGCTTCCTCACCTCCTAAGTTGCTGTTATTGCATTCCTAGTACCTTTGCTATTTTGGTTATTTGATACTCGATGGGAAAAAGATACCCAAACAAAATAAGAGGAGGTTGACCAACAAGTCCTCAGTTACAGTTAGAGTAAAAACCAGGAGTAAGAAGGTTTGTGTGCCACTACATGGTAGAGTGACTACAGATGACGGCTGTGTACCACACATTTCAATAAATGAGAGGGAGCTGGGTGTTTTCACCCTAAAGAAATGACCAGTGTTCCAGGGAGAAGACATGGCTAACCTGTGTTATACAATGTGTGCGTGTATTGGAACATCACATGATATCCCATAAATCCGTATCATTTTTGTTTTTAGGTCTCGGTTAAAAGATCGAGAAAGAAAAAGACCAGAGTTGGTCAACAGGAAATAGGCAAATAATTAAATAGAGAATCAAAGCGCCTTCTAAGCAGAACTAGTTGGCTCTGTGAAATGAACACGGGTCTGCTTGTGCTGCGGAGACCGGATTGGAGGTGCGGGGGACTGGGGAAGTCGCTAGTCTGGGTGAGAGGCTGGGGGCCGGAGCGAGGCTGGCAACGGGCGTGCGCATCAGGAGAGGACTCGGACGGACGGACGGACGGACGGACGGACGAGCCGGCAAGCCGAGATCGACGGCCAGCCCATTTCTCAGAGAGGAACGGGTGAGGAGCCGGCTGTGGCCGGAAGTTACGCTTGGATCTAGGGCCAGATGACCGCAGGGAATCCGGGTGAGGAAGGTGGTGACCCTGAGAGGTGAATGAAGCCCAACTTCCGGCTGAGCCGGGCAGCCCCTCGGAGTGTCCCGGGACAGGGTCTGGGGTTTCTGAAGCAGCAGAGATAAGGAACCCACACCTGCCCTCTCCACAGAGTCAGTCTGCAGGCTCCCTGACTCCCCTTGTGGAAAAAGAATTTGCAGGAAGCATCAGGGTTTGATTAGGCAGTAATTCAAGAGGACAGGAAGAAATAGGGTGCAGGCCTACAAGAGAGAGGGTGCTTATCTCCAGGAACCGGGGTCATCTATGCTTCTCTTGAGGTGGGAGCCCTGGGAAAAGGTATTTCAGTATTCCTGGGGATTTGGGGTGTGATGGGTCCGGGAGGAAGGAGCCTAAATGTCACCGAGGGAATGGTGACATGGATCGCCTTGGGTGACTTGGACTGGGTCCTGGAAGTAGCATCCTTGCCAAAAGTGTAATTTTTAGTTAGGATGTCCTTATCTCCTTTCTACTTTTATTTCTTCTGTCCGAGCTCAGGAGGAGGTGCAGGAACACAGGCAAAGAGCCAGCTCTCGGGGGGGAGGGGACCCCCGAGGAAGGGGGATGTGTGGTTCCTGCGGAGAGGTGGGCTGCCTGACCAAGTCTTCCCCTCAGAGACTTCCTTTCCTTCTGTGGAGATGATTCCTACTCGTTTGGGATAATTTCTGTTTTCTTAA